AGTTTGGTTGTGAAGCAAACGTGTTGCGTCTTCAAGCGCCACTCATTGAACTACTCCAACCACCGACGCAGAAACCCGTGCCAAGACGGAATCCGATCCCCAGAGACCGCAGCTCGCCCATGCCCCCCTCGCTTACGTCAAAGTAAATCACTGGCACGCGAATGCGAGCTCAACGTCGCTGTGGGAATACGCACACCCGATGCAACCAGAGCGCGTTTTCTAGACCCATGCACACAGTTTGCTGGTATTGTACGCATGCGGGCCACACACCTTAGCATTGGTACCAGAAGTGTGGAACGAGTCATGTACCAACGATCTTATGAATCTTGGCTCGCGCTCTTCCTGTGCACAACGCAATGACAGACTTGACTATCACCGTATGTGGCGACAGACTGACTTGGCAAGGTACGCGCTCACGGTACGAGGTGCTGCCTTAATGGTGCCGCCAGGGCAAGCTGGCGGTGCAGAGAGCAAAACACGGAGATTCCTGCACGGCAGTAACATTCGTTCAACACGATTCTAGTGCATACATGTGCCACATGCCCATCCTAGCGGTATACATTATACAACATGTTTGGTCCGGAATTATCCTCTCAAGGTCTATGGAGAACATGACATGCTGCACCAATGTCGGTGCTCCAAGACGAGATTCGTCAGTGCAGCCATGCCGCGATATAGCAAGCCCCTTGCACGACAGAAACCAACGTCTCGATTGTTGACATTTCGGCGTTGCAAAGAGATTGGCTATGACCCGTTGCAGGCACGATATCGGAGACATGAACTGTTCTAGAATGATCACTGCTGGAGTGTAACCGAACCCAAGTCCCCATAATAACTATGGCGTACAATCCATCGCCAGCTTCGGAAACATTTCTGGGTGGGCATGTTTGTCGGCGCATTCCCCCATATCCAATGCCTTCAAGAGCAACGCATGGCACGGCTTAGTGTTCAGATGCGGTTGCCAACGCAAGCCTCCCTAGAGCCCATTGCCCAATTTCGTCGGCAATTCGCGTCGGCCCCGCCTGGCCACGCGTGGTTTGGAGTTGACAAAGATGTGCGCCGGCGAGGTGGAGTGGAATGGCAGACGTGCTTGTGGATTCTCGAAAATATCATTATGCGCCAGGCGCTATTGTTACATGCCCAAGATTACTGACAGCCAACTCGCCAAGACCCAGCGGCAACGAGATAACGCACTCGTTCTCAGAAAATGACGCAGCAACACTAAAGGCTGAGCCAGCGCATGCATCCACGGCATATCTCACCTTCAAGGGAAGGTGCTTCTCATATTCTACTGGCGAGCTCACTTGTTGCAGGGGCCGCGCGCGCGAGAAGATGTCAGCGGCGCGCGCGCGACGTGAGGCGCATTCCTCAGCGAGGCCGCCCGTGCGATACGACTCGTCAATAAGTACAGCGGCGAGACCGTGTGGCCGCCCGGCGGTGCCCCGCGGCTCATGCGCGTGAAGGCCAAGAAGCTTACATATAGCGCCAACGGCGAACGCTATTGCGCACGCTGTGGCAAGAAGAACGATGTTATTTCGTTATGTGACGCTGGTGCGTCAGGAGTCTCTCAATTTGCAACTTGCTCACGCGGTGCTGCGTGTGCGCGCGAAGCACCCGCGATGCGCAGCGACGTGTGGAGCTACCAGCGCCGCGATCAAACGGGGGCGAGAAGCCGCGGGACACCTTGTCACACCAAGAGAAAAAAGTGCGACCGCAGCATGCGGAGTTCAAGTTCAGTGATATTGTTCAAGCTGCCAAGCGAGTTAAGTGCAGCTGTCCTTTCTCGGTCGGCGAAGCAATGATTGAGATGTCGGCGCGCTGGGCCATGGGGGCTCTGCTGTAAGAACCAGCGACGCTTGCCGACCTGGCTAGCTGTAGACACGGACTGTATGAAGATAAACTATGCGCTGCATATGTTGGCCTTTAGTACTAAGTGTGTCCACCGAGGGCCCCGCGCAGGGTCTGCCACACGTGGGTGACAGCCTTGCATTCTCGCTATGTCCCAAATGCATGTTCCAATCGATTCGTAGAGTGTTACCAAATGTGGGTGTTAAGGTGGAAGGTAGTAGCTGGGCTTTTTTTATAATGCAAGATGGTTGATTGTGCGCCTCTATCTTAGTTGCCGTTTAGCATATGCGCCTTCTCTGTTAATCATGATTCGGCATGTGGAGTTGAACATTGCCCCAAATATGCCGCAATCCCAGTCTTCCACTAATGCCCCCTAAGTGCCCCGCTGGACTTCTACTTTTGCAGCAGTTGAGAGCGCATCGTTGCATTCGCTGCCATGAGTAAAGGAAACGCCCGCAGAGCTGCGGAGGCCACGGCGGGTCTCATCGCAGAACTCCTGGGGCCAAGCTGGCCATGTAAGCTCGCGGGGGGAGGGTTGCGTTCCATTCCCCGCAAGCGCGCGTCTACCTGCGCCCTGCATTGCCCTCGTACGCAGGCGTGGGAAAGCGCTGGTCCGCAATATTTCGCCATGGGAGGAATCTCGGGATGATGAAAAGGAATGGGGGCGGGGCCCGCAGAACACGTTTTCCAAAATGTACGAAACTTTGTGTAGCAACCCCTTTGTTCCGTAGCCTTTGGCTCCAGACTCGATCGATTGCTCGGCCACCTTGCCAGCGCGAGCCTGCAGTTCGCCCCAACTACCCGGCGCGCGTGCCTGATGCGGGGCGGCGGCGGCCGCGGCGGCGGCGGCAGAGGCCAGCGGCAGGGGGGCCACGGGAGGAAGTACTTTGCGCAAGGCCCTCGCCGGCGACCTGAATGACAATATGGTCGGAACTCTTCTCCACGTGACTATTGGGCGCGTGGCCAACCGCGGGGCGCGAGAGCAATGGCGGACCTCTGCTGGCAACGTGAGGATGAACGTGAAACAAATGAAAAAGAGAGAACCAACCTTTCGCGAGACCGTCAACAACACCGTATGCGACAGACTCGGCGTCGTGAGCTCGGAGACCAAGACCAACAATAACGTCGAGAAGAAGGGCAATAAGGACAATGCTGATACTAAGAACAAGCCGTTCGCAGCCCTCAAGCTCGCAGGCAAAGCGATGCTGGGGAAGACGGACAGCTCAACCTCTTACAAGCATCAGCAGCAAACAATCGACCCGTAGTGACAGCAACAACATGTCCCTGAACCGCATCGCGAAACTCATCAGAAAGAAGCAGAAGGACAACCGCAGCAAGAAGACCAATAACGATAAGCAGCAGAAGATCATGAGTATGCTGGCCCAATTAGCAAGTGCTTCCTCAAACGACGACATCGGTGACATGGGGTCTCTCTTGGGCGACTCAGGCGATGACAACCCTGGTGGCAACGAGCTCATGAAGATGATGAAGCACATCCAGAGCCATATGAAGAACGGCGGAAAGGATGATCATATCTTCCAGGGCGTCAAAAGTATGATGGCGTCGGTGGCTAAATGAAACCAGAATGCCCCCATGAAGCAGATGCAGGACGTGTCCAAGACCAAGGAGAAGACGGGCAGTGAAGGCGCCAGCTCGAACAATACAGATTCCGAATCCCTCGAGCTCGAGGCCTGCTCCTCACGAGGTGCTCCACACCAACATCGGCCGCCAGCCGGTCCTGATGCCGGGCGAAGAGCCGCCGCCAGAGCGGACCATCATTGGCGATGGCACCGTGCCGCCTGCGATCCCCGAGATGGCCAAGGGGCTCCTGCCTGACGAAGATACGTCGGACTGGCCCACAAACCTGGACGAGTGGGCTGACAAGTTTATCGCAGTCCCTGCCATCACTCAGAGTGTGCTCCAATGGCGTGCTCAAGGCAAACAAGCTGAGCGAGAAGTCGGGCCGTGACGAGAAGCCCAAGAATATGCAACTCGTGCAACACCACCAATCTTGAACATGAAGTGTATTCTATGCGAATGGTTGCGCAAGCGGGTGCGCAGACTTATCCGCCTGATAGCTGTCGCCTGGATGCCACTTGTACTCGCGAACGACCTCGTCATCATTGTATTCGATCCATGCCTGTCGGCGTGGGTGGCCTGATTGCTTGCGTTCGCTCTCGTTCACTATCTTCTTCTTGCTGCTGCTTACCGATGGGTGAGTGCATCAGCAGCAGCCGCAGCAGGATTTGAATACATTTGTAGATCGCCTCGTCCTCCCTCCCACGAGTGTGATCACATTCGTACCTGATATGCAATATGACGTAGCGAACCTAGTGACGTGTATGTTCAGCAGTGTCTCATAATCCCTCCCAAGCATGCTTCTCATAGTGTGTCGGTGTGCGCAATTGTTGGCAACAACGGCCATTTGTTTTCCCATATCCGGGCATCCGGGCCGAGAACGCTTGAGCCAGTATTGCTTGAGCCATTTGACAGCTTCCATCTCTGTGCGTTGCTTAGTCGGCGTTAACCTTCTTGGTCCTGTGTGATGTGGCCCGAACTCAGGGCCGTAGGAGCCGAAGGTGGCGGCATAAACCTAAACCTCGGTCCGTCCTCCGAGGCGGCGATCACATCATGTGTATGTGCATGCTCCTCATCCTTCCTTCCGTCTCCAGAGTTCGTCCAGGGTTTCGACGTTGCGAGACCAGCAGCAGCAGCAGCAGGAGCAGCAGGAGCAGCAGCAGCAGCAGGAGGAGGAGGAGGAGGAGGAGGAGCAGGAGCAGCAACAGCATGAGGAGGAGCAGCAGGAGGAGGATGGGGAGCCGAGCTCGGAAAGCGGGGAGAGGGCGGGGAGGGGAGGGCGACTGTCCTCCTCCTCCTCCTCCTCCTGAGGAAGGGCGGGGGGGTTAAGAGTTAGGTCGGGCATGTCCCCCTCCAGCGGATTCTGGACGACAAATAAAAAATAGTCAACAACAAATTTCAAATGGTCAAAAATAGTCGAAACATCGTCCCCAAACTATTTTTCTATGTTTGAATATTCCTCCTGCAGAGGGACACGCTCGACTTAAGGTGAGAGGGGGGGAGAGGGGAAGGGGGCCGCCCTCCTCGCTTCCCCTCCCCTCCTTCCCTCGTCGGGGACTTTCGTCTCCCCGGTCCTGTCCCAGCAGGCTCTGGCCCGGCTGCCAAGGCCACCAGGATCCCCACGTGCCTGGGTGGCTTCGAGCGACGGCGACGACGGCAGCGACGACAACCTGGCAGCAGGCAAGGGGCGGGGAGGGAACTCCCACCCGGTGGGGGAGGGTAATCTCTTGGGGCCGATTCTCCCTGCTTGGGCTTCTGGAGGCCCCTGGAGGACCCCTGGCGAAGGGAAGCAACGCAGCCTTGCGTTTTGTGCTCGCCGCAGCCTTACGCGGCAACACCCCTCGACGCCAGGGGAGGGCCCCCTCGAGGAACAGAAGGGTAGGTGGGTGTGAACGGGTGCAGTCGCAAGGATCCGTGCCTGGCGATCCCGCTGCAAACCAACCTTTTTTTCTTGGAGAAGGGGAGGACGAACATCCCACCGATTGCGTCCACAGCCAGCGCGGAAGCGAGGCTGCGTGAGACAGGCGGGATGCACAGTTTCGACTCTGGGACGTGTGCGGAGTTGCGGCCACACCCGCAGGACAGAGCCCACTGCATGCAAACTTGCCCTCTTGCACAACTTGGACTGGGACCCATCATTTGGCCAGGATCACTCCACATCACATCGGGAATCGGATCGAATCGGAACGTGCGTCGGATCGGGCTGCATCAGCACGGGATCGAAATCGAATCGGTTGCGCCACGATGCGCAACAGTGCCATGCAAGCATCGGGCCGCATCGGATCGCTGGAATCTCGGAGTCGAATCGGATCGGACCTGCCGAAATCGACATCGACTCTGATCGATCGGATCGAAATGGAACCTGTAGGCGAAGCCTATTTCAGGGTCTGGGACTCCGCGAGCCTATGCCCCCCCGCCGGATCAGGAGGGACGAAGGGCAGGAGGAAGAGGAGATGAAACACCCAGAACAAGAGCTTCAAATCGGGGGTAAAGGAGGAACGATTGCCCGCAAGACAACTCTATATACCGCGGGTTCGCATCGTTTCGACCCTGGCGCAGGTCCCTGACACCGCGGGGATCGTTCAGCCTTCAACGATCGGCCGTTTCCGAAACGTCAGGTTGTTCAACATCGGCATTCTGAATCACAAGCGGCGTTCAACGTTGAACGCGGCGGCGGTGTTGCCGCCGGGGTCGACACGACGCGAATCTACCGTAAAGGAGCGACGATTGCTCGTAAGACACCTCTGTAGCTGATCTCTGCTCCAGGCGGCCAGCTCCTCCAGATACCCTGCGGTACTCACAAGCGACCTCTCGAAATTTGTCGACCCCCGCTTGCCAGGGGGTGAGTGGGCGTGTGAGGCATTTTGCTGTCCTCCCAACCTTTTGCCCCTCCCCTGGGGCCCAAAATGCACTCTGAGAGGAGGGGGGGGCATGGGGAGGAGGAGAAGGAGGAGGAGGAGGGGGAGAGGGAGGAGGGGGAGGAAAAGGAGGAGAACCAGCAGGATCAGGAAAAATATGGAGAAGAGGAACGTGATGAGGATGAGGACGCGGACGAGGATGATGACAAGGATGACGATGACGATGACGATGCTGCTGATAAAGATGGTGATGATGATACTGCTGCTGCTGGTGATCATGACGAGGGTGCTGCTGCTGCGGATTATGCTATTGAGAATAATAATGCTGATGCTGATGACGATGATGATGCTGATGATGATGCTGATGATGATTCGACCAGGCTCCATAGGGGGGCTCGAGTCTTGGGGTCAGCAACTCTCGGATGGCGCGCTGGCGCTTGGCTACCGCCCCGGCGCGGGCCCGCATCAGGACCTCCACCCTGGAAGAAGGCTCAGACAGAGAGACTGCTGATGATGACAATGATGATGATGCTGATGATGATGATGATGATGCTGATGATGATGATGATGATAATGATGATGATGATGATGATCATGATGCTGATGATAATGCTGCTGCTGGTGTTGATGACGATGCTGATGCTGATGATGATGCTGATGATGCTGATGATGATGAGTATGATGATGCTGATTATGATGATGCTGATGATGATGATGATGATGATGATGATGATGATGATGAGGGTGCGAGGAGGAGAAGGAGAAGGAGAAGAAGGAGGAGGAGACCAGCGTACCCAGAGGTCAGCTCCCCGCGCCTAGCACGGCGCCTGAGGCAGCATGGGCACGCCTCCTGTCGAAGCTGTTGTAGCTGAGGCCGCCGACGCTGCAGCCCATGATGTGCAGCGGATAGCCGTCGAATTTATATCATTCTTATTCAGAGGATGCTGAGTGCAGGGGGGAGCGAGAACGCAAGATGGGACCGAGACGAGACGCAGAGAGCAGTGAGGACAGTGCCGAGAGCGTGCAGGCGAATCACGAACACGCCTCGAAAAGGAAAGGGACGAGAGAGAGACCCTCATCCAACAAGGGGCACTCTCTGCGCCGTGCGCGGGGCCGGGGAGCAACGGTGCGAGGGTCACTAACGGCGCACCGCCGGGCAGTCCCCACTCGCACCGCGCCCCCCGTTGGGAGGACAACCTACGCCTGTGCTTCCGCCCACTATGCAGGTGCCACGGGCACGGGCGCCTGAGGAAAATGGGCAACAGAAGCTTTTTCCGACGGCACTCACACTCATAGGGCAATCTGAGGGTGCCCCCAACTCCTGTACCAAGACTCGTACCAAGAGAAGAAGATAGAGTAGCACTGCATGACCATGACGACGAAATTCTCGTCAGAGGCGAAATCGAAGAGGAGGGTCCCGCCATCAGCGACGGACAGGGCGCAAACGACGGGGCAGCAGCCGTCGAACACGGCCAGGTCGGGGAAAACGAGCACGGGGTAGTAGCGAAGAGAGAGGCGATCCGTGTCCACAACGGAGAAGCTCGTGACGACGGCGTAACTTTCCGAGACGGCGCAACTCTCGAGGATGGCGTGCAGCTCTCGAAGACGGCGCAACACTCGTTGACGGAGACACTCTCGAAGACGGCGCAACTCTCGAAGACGGCGCAACTCACCATGACGGGGCAACACTCGACGTCGGCGCAATTCACGAAGAAGGTGCAATTCTCGATGTCTGAGCCCTTATTTCCATCAGAGGCGGTCGACCTCCGCACAAGAGACGAGATCTCGCAACTTACTCCAGAGCCCTTATTTAGAACAGAGGCGGTCGACCTCCGAACTCGAGACACAGGCTCGCAACTTACTCCAGAGCCCTTATTTAAAACAGAGGCGGTCGACCTCCGAACTCGAGGCGCAAGCTCACAACTTACTCCAGAGCCGTTATTTCCAGCAGAGGCGGTCGACCTCCGCGTTCTAACGCCAGTGGCCGCAGGGCTCGAGGAGCACCCTGCGATCGAGACCTGGAGGAGGAAAGAGGCAGGGTCATCGTCACCATCACCATCGGCGGCATCGCCATCATCGGGATCCACTGCTGAGACGAGTGAGGCAAAGTAGTGCACCGACCCGTTGGCAGCAACGATGGGCAGGGACTCGTCTCCATTGCTGTCCACAAGGAAGTCACGAATACGGTGTGGTGCAGCGGGACCCAAGTATTGCCTCATCTCTCTGCGAATCTCACGAAGGGCTTGGAAATGTCGATCCACCATCTCTTCCCAGAGCCCGTGCCGCGTCAAGGAGTTACGCGGGTCATTCAGCCACCGAAAGTAATCTACAGTATTGAGGCGCCCCTCGGTAGAGGTGCCCCAGGCAACCATGCAGATATGACGAGCGAGTTCGTCGAGAGCACCACTCCAACCAGACGAATCCACCCATTCCATCGCCTCAAATTTGGCACGTACGTATGGGATGCACCACATCAACCAGTCGGCACGGCCGCTCTCGGAGTCATCCAAGCGCAAGATCCAGCGTGTAGCCCTTGGTGCAATACGTTCGCCGAAGACAACAGGTGTTGCATGCTCCACAGAGGAAGAATGTGGATGGCCCGCCAGACGCAGGATGGGAGTACTCGGTGACGGCGTCGACTTCGACGAGGTGGCATCGTCCAGACACCGCAACTGTTCAGGGAGAGAAGGGTCCTCACGAACAGGAAGCCCACCAGCACGAAGGCGTTCGACACGCTTGATGGTCGCACGATATTCACGTTCAAGCCGAGTAACATCCGCCTCACATGCAGCTGGGACAGACATCGACGCTGCATGGACCGCGGAGAGCGCCACCGTGGCAGCAAGCGGCCATGGGAACATGGATGCCGCAGGTCGCGGCGAGGTGGCAGCGGGAGCGGACGCCCGCCCGTTGACGCCCTGCCTTGAGGGCAGGGCCTCGCACTGAGCCAAAGCGCCAGCAGGAATGGGCACAGGAGACACTGGATGGGGAACAGGTTGGCCAGCTTCATCAGCGCTATGTATCCCATCGTCGTCACACGGGGTGGGAGGGACCAGGTCAGGGATGGGGGCCGCAGCATCTGAACTCAAACAGGAGGTGGACGATGAGGTGAGCACATCCCACTGAGGCTGCCTTCGGCGGATCGTCTGGACAGCGGGAGGAGGTTCCCACCGTTCCAATTTGGCTGAAGGCCTGGCCAGACGAGAGGTGCGGACGGCGGCCTCAACATAACCGCGCAACTGACGGGGAGTCGACACTAGAGCACCTTGCCGAGCATAGTTGAAGACCTGGTAATAGATATAGAGAGCTTCGAAGTGGTCAGGGTGGGGGTGGGTAAGGCCAAGACGCTGAGCCAGTGGGCGAGGCAGGGCACGCCGTAGACCTTTGCAGACTGCCAGGTACAATTTAGGGCAGCGTAGATAATGTTGCAGCCGATCAGGGCCAGGGCATCCGAAACGACAGCGAAGTTTGCCCCTCGGGTGGATAATCCTATGTGATGTCAGCCATCCATGCCCCCAAGTCCGTAAGGCTGCCATCGCCCAGCTTTGCGGAACCAATGCCAAAAGCTCCTGAATAGCGGGCCAGTGGATCAGGTTGAGGAAGGGGAGGTAAGCTGTGAATAACGGGGTTAAGTGGCGAATCAGCATGGCATGTAGAGGTTTGTGCGTACACATGTTCTGACCCAACGAGCGGGCAGCAGCACGTTGCAGCTTGGGCCTTCGTGTCGTAACCTGAGCTTCCTCACGCATGGCAGAGCGAGCGGCGACGA